GCGGCCTGACATTGAACTAGCAGGCAGGCCTTGGCTCGCGGGCGCGGGCTCGAGATGCTATGCATGGTCCCGTTAACCTCTTGATGCTCGATTCACTCTAACTTCTCGCACGCTTCTCTGATTGACTCGAAACTTTGACCCACGCTCCTCAAATCTTTTTCTCTTCGTCTTGAGATGCACAAATAGATGTCACCACGCAATTAATAAATATGCTCGAAAATAGTTCGCGTGGCTCGGACATGGTTCAGACGGCTCGAAAATGTCTCGGAAATGGCTCCTCTTCCCAAACTCGAATATTTGTTTATTGTGTTTTTGTGCTTATTTTCGTGTGTTGTATGTGTTTTAGTTTAGTATTTTTAGGTTCATTTTAGTGTCGACCGGTCCATTTTATCGTATTTCGTGTATTTTCTTTGTCTTTCTCTTTATTCTGTTTTTGGCGTACTTTTTCGTGCTCTTGGGTATATTTTTAGGATTATTCCGAGGATGATAAGAGAAGTCGAACCGAGTCCTGAGAGATAAACTTTTTCAATGAATTCCGAGTCGTTTCCAAGAATTTTGAGCCGTGTCGACCCTAGTTTCAAAACTGAGCCAGCCTCATGACCTCGACGGTGCCGTTGCCCAGGGCCACTCGCGACCGCCCACCTCAAACCGCGCCTCGCGGACGCACGATGCCGCTGCCCAGGACGCCCGCACCCGCGCCTCGCAAAGACACTCGCCAGCTCGAGAGTGTTGCCTCTCTGTCGTCCGCGCCCGCGAAAGCCGTTGCCAGGTCGAGAGTATCACTTCCCCCGCGCCCGCGCCTCGCGAAGACACCCGCCAGCTTGAGAGTAGTGGTTTCCTTCCCGTCCGCGCGCGCGAGTCCGCCCACGGTGTCGAGAGTATGGATTTTTACCGCGCCACACCGAGCCTTCCTCGCGCGTGTCCGTGACCCGCGAATTTTCCCGCGGCCTCGAGAGTACTGTCATTTAATGTGCGTGTTTCTAGTGCGTGTTTTGAGCTGGACTATATATACATTTTGGCCCTTTGTATTTTGGCCATCTAGATTTCATTTGTCACTTTTTCCACTTTAGGAATTAAGCTTTTCTTTTTAGTTTTCTCTCTTCTCTCTCTTGGGAGCTCCATGACATCATTTTCCGGTGAGTTTTCCGACGAGTTTTATTTTGTTCAAGTTCCGAGCTTTTGACTCCGATTTTCGTCTAGCACGCAATAGAAGATTGGGTATTTACTTTTAAAGCTCATTACTTCGATTTTTTGCCACGTTTTTACTTATGAAATTTTTCAAGGTGAATTTGGATGTTTGCTTGATGATGGAGGAAATGTTTGGACTTGATCATTGTCCTTACTTGTTTTAGTAGAGACTAGTTGTTTGCCTATCTAGATTAAGAGTTAGGACTCTATTTAGAGATTAATCACTTAGGTTAGAAGGTTGGGATTAGTGATCTAGTGTTAGAACTAGCATACTTCTCGTTGTTGATTTCGTTTGATGTTGATGGCTTAGAGACTCCGGCAGTGTTAATTGTGTTATTCTCTCGTTGATTGTCGTTTTCAATTTCGAGCATCAATTAACATTAATTCACTCTCCAACCCATTGATTAGCATGTTTAGCTTTTATTTTCTCATTTTGTGTGATTTGGACAATTGAGTGGTGAACGAAGCTCCGAACCGTCTTCCTTCGAGAACGACTCGAGGTCGGGTAGCTCGGTTACTAACTACCCTCAAAATAACTATAAAACAATATTTTGGACCTACACACACCAAAAAGACAAGAAAAATACGTCGAACCACAAAAATACAATACGAAAATAAAAATGCATGAAACGCGATAAAATAGACCGATCGATACTAAAACGGACCTAAAAACACTCAACTAAAACACATAAAACACACGAAAATAAGTACAAAACACAATAAACACATACCATCAAGAATTTATTTTATTTGGAAAAAGAATATAAACTAAGTATTAACGTAAAGTTACTATAAAAAAATATTATAATATTTATGTTTGGACTTAAATGAAGACTACAAAGAGATTGAACATTATAAAGATATTGAAAAATAAATATAAATGAAATTATAATTAACATAACAAAAATATTTATAATATTGCATAAAATTTAAAAATATTACATTCATACGCATTATATTTTAATTATTTCATATTATAAAGTTTAAGATATTTGAAAAAATAATAGATTAGGGATGAAAACTATATATATATATAAGTATAAAACATAATTACAATATAATAAAACCTGGAAAAAAATTTAATTTAATTGAAAATCAAATTGTTGTAGATAATATATATGCGTGTGTGTGTGTGAGAGAGAAAGAGATTAAAAAAAATAATATTTTGACAAATCGAGCGTAAAACACGAGTATTATTTTAAATAATCAACTTTATTAAATTTTTAATTATTAGTTTTATATTTAATTTTTTATTATTTTTATAATAAAAATATAAATTTTTTACTCTTTTTTTATGCAAATATCTTTTTTTCATGCATCCGTGTTTTTCATGGGAGTTATATTAATTGACCAATAAATTAATTCTTATATTTAACTTTGACAAGAATGAATATTATTTTAAATAGAGCAAATAATATTTCGTAGAATATGTTTTCTAGAAGTCGAAATAATATTACAAATTCTTTTGCTCTCTTATTAATTTATTGCAATTTTTTATTTATCAATGACGATATTATCTTTTTTTTTTTTAATTTTTATTGTACAATTAACTTTTGAGTACATTAGCTCGTATAGTTCAGGCATTGTGCTATAAAATATAATGTTGGAATATCACTTGTGAGTTGTCCAACATTGATTCTATAAGGTAAATGAGCCTAATATATAAGTCTAGTGGGACCGGAACCTCACTAAGGTGCAACTTGGCTCTCCCTCTTATGGTGCACTTCATCTCGTGGGACCGCACTCTCTTTCTCCAATTCTGTAAATCTAACGAGAAATGCTATAGGTATAATAGTGTACACAAAGATGTACATCACACTCACATTAAGTGGGCCCTACAAAAAATAAGAACGATAAATGCTACAAGTACATAATATTGTACATATAAGTGCACATAACACTCACATTAAGTGGCCCTACAAAAAATAAAAAATCAAGTGGACCACACTCCATGCGAGTGTTATGTACACCTCTATGTACATTTATTATGTATTTGTAACATTTTTTAATAAAAATCAAGTGGACATCACTTCATGTGAGTGTTATGTACACTTCTATGTACATTTATTACGTAATTGTAGCATTTTTCAAATCTAATATATTAAGATTGAATGAATTTAATTAATATTAGACGAGGATGGGTGTGGTCCATCAAGTATGCTGCCTCACTTGCCTTGCATATCAAGCAATGTCGTACACCTTCTTCTCTCCTTGTCCCTTCACTTTATCCCTCTCTCTAAAACAAAAGAATCATGATCAGCTCGAAACCCATGTGACTTTGTGAGTTATTATCATTCTTTCTCAGTTTCTTTTTTCATTTTTTTTAATCTTTATTTTTTCATTTTTATCCTTTTCCGTTGCTTTACTTTACTGTGTTGAACAACAAGGTGGTGGTTAAATGTATTTATAGCAGTTTTTTAAATATCGATGAGTAATATGATATATCGGTCTTTCATCCCGTATAAATGATCAACACAAAGGATCAAACTGTACCGTAAATCATTGGTATAACTAAGATGGAAAATCATTCCCTTAAACCAAACGGCGTGGTCAAAAATGGAAAAATTAAATCACAAAAAACTACTACTCATGTACGTGTTACTTGCCAAATCATATTTTCAAATTAAACTTCATAGTTATATAATAAGAAATCATGCATATATATTTTCAAAAGTAGTCAAATATGACTTTTAATTATATAAGTCCATTAATAATATATATGTTATTACACGGTGCTTGTTAAAAAATTATACCTAAATTTAAAAAATAACAGTACACAGTGCTTGTTAAAAAATGTATATATAAGTTTATAAAGTAATAAAAGAAGTATGTTTTAAATTTTATTTTTTCTTAGAAAATATATTATTATTATTATTTATATTTAAAATAACGCTTTCACATATATTACGTAATCGTCTTATATTATAATATTTTTTAATTTATATCATATGACTACTTTGTAGTTAAATATATTTAATTGATAAATATTTTTTTTTCAAATAAAATTAATAGATGATTTAATTTTTATTTGTAAATATAGATATAATTATTTATTTACATTATCATATAATATAGATGTCACATCAAAGCTAATGAAGAGGTGATTGATTTGGTATATTATATATGAAAAATTGATAATAAATATAAAAGTTAACTTTTAAAATTTATAAAATTTAAGTTAGCAAAGTGTACTGTAATTAAAAAAAGATTGGGAAAAAAAAAAGATTGAGGCAAAAAATTACATTCCTTATATAAACTACGTCCAAAATATGAAATTATATTAAAACGCAATTAATGTTCATAATAAAATAATCATAAATATCTAGTATATTTATGGATAATTTCAAACATAATTATTTCTGGATTGTAAGTAATTAAATTAAAACTTATCCAAGTCAGATGACGAAACATGAAATTTTACCAGATAGGACCCCAAAACGTGTGAGGGTGTCACTTTTAGGCTCAATACATTAAATTATATATAAGGGGATATATATCGACACATATGACTCCTGATTTTTCAGTTAATTTCACATAGATTAACCGTACATGTATTTTAAGAAACTACAGAGAATAAAATAAAATATGTAGGTATCTTTAACATTCCAAATATAAAGAGAAAACTTTAGCATCTTATTAAAAAAATATAAAAACACAAATAATGAAAACCTACAACAAATAATAAACAACAGCTAAGCTAAGTCCATAGCTTTTTTGGGTTTTACCGGTCAAGATTAGCACTCCAACAAATTTAACAAAGCTATCACCTTTTATTTTACAACTACACAAACAATCCAAACCCATCTCTCTCTCTCTCTCTCTATCTCTCTCTCTCATTCTCATTCTCTCTCTTTCTCACAAATACACAGAAACTAGAAAGTAGTGTGTCTACTTGCATCAGTCGGCTGTGCTTAAAATTGAGGTAAAGGTTAGTGAAATATAGATATGTATGCTACCTTTTCCTTTTATCTCACGGAATTCTGCTATGGTTTTTATACTTCTTTCCTTGTTTCATTAATTATTTCATTCATCTTTATCTATTCCCAATTCATTTTGTTTTTTTAGTTCGGCTAATATTCTTAGGGCTTCAAGATTGGATTTTGTTCCATAAGGAATCTTACAGGCTTTATTTATTTTTGTTTCACCGAATTCCGAAAAATCTTCCTTTGTTGCTCGAAAATTTTTCTTAACATCTCTACTGTTCCCTATTTTTCTGTTCTTGAAAATTACAAGGTATTTTTTATATTTTTATTTTTGGGAACATTTTAGTAGACGTACTGATCTTCTTCTTCTTCTTCTGCCAGAAGGCCCTTATCTGGAGCAGACCCACAAAGGTGTTGAAGATAAATCAGAGTATTCAATAATAATTAAGGTTATTGTTGATGGAGATGAGCTTATTAAGGTTTTTATGGTCATAATCAAACAATTTCCCCCCCAAAAAAAAGAGACGAATAAGAGTCGTGTTTGTTTGAGGCATGAATAAGAGTAGCCAGCTAGGATCCGTGAGCAGTTCTGATCTGATAGATGCAAAGCTTGAGGAGCATCAATTATGCGGAGCCAAACACTGCCCTGGTTGTGGCCACAAGCTAGAAGCAAAGCCGGTAAAATAACACATTTATTTTATTTTTATTTTTATTTTTATCTTTTCCCGTCTAATATATTTATATATAATATTCTTGTCTTCATGTTCAAGTTTTGTGGATCACATGCTCAAAGTATTTATCACATGTTATTAGTATATACATATATATGTTTTTCTCAATCTTATCTAATTTGATGTATTAAATAATTTGATGTACAATTAGTTATATATAAATATATATTTAATTGGTGCAGGACTGGGTAGGTCTACCGGCTGGCGTGAAATTTGACCCGACTGATCAAGAATTGATCGAACATCTTGAAGCTAAAGTCGAGGGGAAAGACTCCAAATCTCATCCTTTGATTGATGAGTTCATTCCTACCATTGAAGGTGAAGATGGGATTTGCTACACGCATCCTGAGAAGCTCCCAGGTCAAAACTACTTCAACCTCCATATAATAATCATAAAATTATTGTTATTATTATTATTTTTAATTGGTTTTCTTGGAAGATATATGTATAGATCAGTTAGGAATGACTTTAGGGTTTTCTGTTTTTTTATTTTGTCATATTCCCTTCTCTTTGGTTGCTAGTGAGAACTTTAATGAAAAATAAAGATAGAAAAAAAGGGGTTAGATGTCAAGTTCACATTTTTTGTCACACCAAAGCAAACCTAACTTTGATCCCCATTCAATCTCTTTTTTTTTTTCTTAAATAAATAACAAATAAATACATAAATAAATAAAATATATACATGATTTAATTTAGGCGTGACGAGAGATGGTTTGAGCCGACACTTTTTCCACCGGCCGTCAAAAGCTTACACGACTGGCACACGAAAACGTAGGAAGATCCAAACAGAATGTGACCTCCAAGGTGGCGAGACCCGTTGGCACAAAACGGGTAAAACCCGACCCGTAATGGTCCATAACAAGCACAAAGGTTGCAAGAAGATCCTCGTACTATACACAAATTTCGGTAAGAACCGAAAACCGGAAAAGACTAATTGGGTGATGCATCAGTACCACTTGGGCCAACACGAGGAGGAGAGAGAAGGAGAGCTCGTCGTTTCGAAGATTTTCTACCAGACTCAACCGAGACAGTGCAGTAATATTAGTAATAATCCGAATAATTCAGAGGGTCTTATTCATGTGACAAATAATAATATGGCTAAGAGCTCGACCTCCCGTGACTTATCGACTGTAAACGTTGTTTTGGACCCCAAAATCACCGGTTACAACACCGCAATTGATGATCATTTCAGCTTCCTCCGGTATAGAAACGAGGTAAGCACCGAATTACTAATGGCTTCTAATTTTATTTTATTTTTTTTAAAAAATTATAAAAATTGTAGTATATTTGAAATAACAAAGAAAATGCGTGATTTT